AAAAAAAGTTTCAGAGAGCTTTTAAAATGATTACTACTACTTCACGATTATTAAATAACCATTCACGTGATGTTCTTTAATTTTCTTTTAAATGTTCCTTTGGAGACTTCTAGGTTATTTAATGGAAATATCCCCTTTCAATGAACCATGGGTCCTAGTTTGATTTGCATGAGCTTCTCAGTGGGAGAAAAGTGCACTACTCTTAAACATAGTATTGTCCAAATGATGTAAGAAGCTGTGCTCCAGATAGATTTACAGCAGCTCAACCCCAATTTATATTAAATAATTGGTTCGCAGGAATTCCCTACATGGTCCTGAATGGTGGTTAATTTTCAAAGTTATAAGAGAGCTGTGAGCATGCCCTCATTCCTATAATAACATTAAAATCTTTAATCTTTTATGATTCATAGTTGCTTTAGAAAGAACTGCATTAAAACTGGAGTTACACTGTGGTCCTTTGCATTGATTCAATACCAAAAATATCTCCTGGAAATAGTTGTTGAAATGAGACAAAGTAAAATCAGTGATATTTTAAAAAGGAATTTACTGCACTGGGCAGAAACTGGACTGAATCAACATTAACTTGTAAAAAGATAATAAAAAACAACAATATAATTTGCACATGATCTAAATTAATGACATAAGGTGACCCACTGACCTAGAAAAATAATCTAATGCAGCCAAATTTGTAAAAAAAAAGCATGTCATAATAGATAATCTTCAACAGACTGCAGCCTTATTGGAACAGGGCTTGTTATCATAAACATTTTCTTCTGGCTAAATGTCTAATGAAGACAACATGGGAGTTCAAATAATAACAAGATTAACTTGTTATTTCCATTGCAGTTCTAATGATGATAACTGGTTGTAGCTTCTTAAAACTTAGTTCTATTTGACATTTTCCCCTCTGACACATAATTGTTTGTTCCTGTAATGACTTTTGATCATCAAGAGCAAACTGACACACCATGTGATCAAATTTCAACTGCACCAAAATGAAGATTAAAATGTCAGTGTAAAACAACAAAATGATCTTGCACAATTATTCCATGACACAAACTCTACCTTCACGAACCTTACAAAAATAATATTTCAATGATACTTCATGGAAAATACCATGTTAAATACTCTTTAACTAATTGTCAACAACCAAATTAAAGGAAGGGCAATACAATAGCCTTGGCCACAAGTAAACCTGCAATACACCTAAAAACAACTCCTGTAATGTCTAAGAAACATGGGATCCAAAATTACTGGACAGCTCTCCCTGTATCTTACATCTTCAATTTCAGTCAACTCCCCATTATAATTAATTCTGTCCTCTTTATTATTTAAAAAAGCTTAGAGAATTCAATTATTAATTGCATATACAGTACTTAATACTTCACAGGCTCTAGTATAATGACATGACTAGAAATAATGGGCCCAACCAGATGGAATGAACTAATGAGTTAATTACATGTGCTTTCCATTCAGTTTCATTCATTGTATAAAGACTATATCAAGGAACCTGTGTGCTACCAATCATTTGTTCAATCATGAATAGTAAATGTTTCCTTGCCTATTTATTCATATTACTTTGCGATACGTAAATCATTTCCTTTGTATTAAATTAGCATAAAAGACAGTTGTTTGGTTATCACTGAAACATATCATCCATATTATCTCCTACTCTACTGGTAGATCTCATAGGGCTGGTTAAATCATTTGCTCTAGAATGACTTTATTCCCAAAGTATCTGGATTGCGAGCAATCCATTTTTCATTTATTCAACTATTTTTTTCTGTTGGGAATTAAAATGTCAAATAGAACAGTCGGCCTACAAGAAAAACATTACATGGCATTATGGGAAGTATATTGTTATGCTGAGGTCTCCACACATTTTCCTTCATGACCAGCGAGTTTTCACTTTCATGTATCTGAAATTCCCACTCCTCATCTTGCTTTACATTTGCTTTACTTGCAATTGTGTCAAAATCTAGTAACTAAAATTGAAAAGCAAGAAGCAGAACTGAGCTGAGTAGAACAGAAATACTGTAAAAGTATCTCTGTAAAATATAAAAATACTGAATTTTGATCATGGTTATGTTCATATGTAACTCTATATTAAGATATAATACATCATCATACACAAAGCACTATAGTCTACTGTGTGCATAGCTGGTTTCACTGGATCTCTTGATTACCTGAAATGTAAGTTTTTACTTTACCTGCTTGGTTAATCCTCGATGATCGTCGGCATGACCACTTTAACCACATCTTTATTAGCCACTTAATATTAAAAATAATTGTCCAAAAATCTCTATTGACATCATTTGAGGTGCATTTATTACTGGACCATTGTGTTAAAGGCTATCACAATGAAAGTACACTAAATGCAGTATTTATCCAATCCGTAACAACTAAATAACCTTTAGAACATTTCCCTAGCCTATTTTAGATAATACTGTACACACTCCTTTTGAACACCATGTCGATCAGGAAAGTCATCTTGCTGAAAAATGTCACAATTTTGATATTGAACATTTATAATGGGAGCATCCTTTGTAAGGCCTTTTTCAAAATCACAATATTTTATATACAAAATAAAACAGTCCCTGGTGTTTATAATATATAAATCTAAGAAACTCAATCCAATTAATATTTGTGAGGAAAAAAGCAAATAAGGCACTTGGCTGATAGAAGTTTACAAAAATAAGCGACTTTGAGGTAACAAAATTATTTTTCAATACTTTGAAGTGATTTGACAAAGTTGAACGAAATTTAAAAAAATAGTCAATTTAAAGGCAGGAGGGAATTCAGGCAGAATCTTTTTCCAGAATCGCTCTGGGACACTAACTTGAGGGGCACTATATAAATGCAAGTTGTTGTTGTTTAAAAGAATAATAGATTTGTAGAATAATCCTCCAAGGAGTCTATTGAGGTGGACAAGTTCAGGAAAGATGCCAGTGAAAACTTCTAAATAGGATTTATCTTTCAAAAATAGATGGACTTGTTGGTGCTAAACCCTTTTTATATTCCTAAAAAATATTACGTTCTTCAACTGTTTCCTGTTGTATTTAACGGAAGATACAAAAGATGAAGCACTGATTTATCTAACCTTAAAAATCAACACTGATGTTTAACCTCTTGCTATTTATACAGGATCAAAAATATAAAACAGTGAAGTCACTGAGAAATATTCTACAATTGTATACAGATGAAAGACAACATTCTTTTGTCTCAGGTTGTACAATCCTGAAGGACCCACATTGTATATTGCAGCAGTAGAATTTGAAAGTAAAGCCAGATGTTAGAGTATACAGTGAAATCCCAGAGATCCCACAAGCAAATGGCAACTAAAAATCAGGACAGAATGCAATGACAGTTATGGACATTACACAAGCAAAGGAAATCACTTTGGAGTCATGGCTCATGTCAATGTTTTGACACATTGTTCCTGTGTGGGTTGTATTATATTGCTGGTGTAGTAGATGTAATGTCTCTGAAGACACCTCTCCACCTGCCTGCTCCGAAGCATTTCAAATATTATTGTTTTCAAGTTTAAACCTTCATTTTTATAATAATGAGTTATGATCATTATTATTGTCAGTGGCTCTCCGGGTATCTGCTTGTTAATGAAGGTGGTTCTCTGAGAATAAGGGAGAGGTCTCTCGCTGGTGGTAACTAACCTCCATATGATAGGTAAGCGATCGGGAAGAAAAGTACAGGTCTCCTGCTGGTTACGATAGACGCTGCTTGTAATTGAGAGGTAGGAACCTCTCAATTTGTCCCTTGTCTAATTTCCCCATGGTTAGTAAGTCTGATAGTACTCTTAAGATTGACAGTTAGAAACCTAGGGGACAAGCACAAATCTCCCTCAGGAAGAGTCAGCATATCAATTAGGAATAATGAGGCTGCTCTTTATGTTTTGTACTTGTGTTATTTAAATTAGTCAATACAAAAGCAAAAATAAAACATTGTGTATCCTGATTTAGAATGATGGTAAATTTGAGAAAATTTTATGTCTTTTAAAGCAATTATTTTTTGAAAACAAGAGTTCCTGTATTAGCTTGTTTTAAAATTCTTCGTGTAACCTAAGATATACTAGCGATACCTCATTGGCAGAGTGCTATGTCTTGATAACTATGGTATATGTGAAACATGAAAACATGGCTGTTTCCAGATCAACGGGTCACCATTGACATCACTTCCAGCACTGAAAAAGGCCATTCAACCCATCATATCTGTGCTGGATTTGAAAGAGAAATTCGTTCAGTACCATTTATCTTGTCTTTTCCCCATAGGACCTGCAAATTACTCCTTTTTAGACATCTATTTCATTTATTTCCTGCATATGTGTGCTAGATGCAGGAAATGCTACGAAAGTCACTCTGAAATTGCTGCTAATGTGCCGCTCTTGACATTTCCTGGGTGCTGTGCTTGCGCTATGTGAAGGACATGCTAATCAGTGGTTCTTCCTGTGCATGGTCATTGTGCAGGAAATAACTCAGCAGTGATCTACCACCACCAAGTCAAGTCATTTGTTTAGTGTGGGAAGCTCAGTCAGCATTATAAGCCAGTTGTACTGTGTTACTGGTTAGTGCAGTTCCTCAGTAGACCCTCACCCAAGGTGGGAAGGCATTACTGTATATTGAAGGGTGTGTGATGGTGTTCTTCAGTGTAAGTGTGAATATATGGCTGAGACTGACCTCCAAGTATGTTGTGAATATGTGAAGCTGTAAGTTAAACTGCACTTGAGCTCTTGTCTGTTACTTTCTACACATTCAGATCCTAATATCACCACAGTCATTCAAGAGAGGCATTTCTCAGAACGAGAGAAAATTGCTGCATATCAAACTATTGTGTGCCACTCTTATACTTTAATAATGACAGGTTGAAGAGATATTCACCGCCTTTGTAATGTTGTCAGTCAAATAATTTCCATAAATTGTAGTAGGAGTCCCATTAGACATGAGAAAAATATATAATTTTATATACTTATATATATCTTTGCTTACCCTTATCATCAAAACTGCACTTCTGACATCATGAACCGAATCATAGACCTTTTTGGCCGCATCAACAAATGCATTATCATCAAACTGGTGGGGTGAGTCAATGCTGAGTGCTTCCAGAGCAATATTAACTTGCGCGATGAACTCTGGCATAGCTGAAAAAAAAGTTTAAATAAATGAATCACATAAGAATAAAAATTAAATTTCTGCATAAGCAACTAATGTTTCTCACCATAAAACAAACTACACATATAGAGTTCATAAATTATGTGCTTGCATCTTTTTTACTTTATGAACATGAATTGTATAACACTATATGGTTCCACATTTCTAAATGATATTTCAATTTAAATAACATAAAAACTTCAAGTGAGGAAAAGTACTGATATTTTATTCACAATAGACATTATAGATTAGGAACAACATGTGTTATAATATTGAAGTACCACCTTCAATCAACTATTAGAGGTTCATGGAGTCAAGCAACACATTGATTCCTGTATGTAAATACCCATCTGTGATACAACAGAAACACTGAGGAGATACCTCTTCAAGCATATTTTTGGTGGGCAGCTGGATGTCTGACACATGTGGAAACCCATCACATTGCTTAAGAGTATCCAAACCAAACTAACAGTTCTATGCATCTCAGCTAAACATGGAAATTCCCAAGATATTTATTAGAATGGAATGCACATTCTTTCTTTGGAGGGATGCATCTTGCTTCCCTAATTTCGGAGAATATGAGGCACAGATTGCCAAGAGACAACCTTGGGGTTCACAGAAGATGCTTTGTGGAGTATTGCTGGAATCTTTTACTCCTTTTTTAAAAAAGCATCCAGCTCCCCCTCCCCCCTGTGTACTGTTAATTTCCATCACCTAAATACTTTTCAACCTGATGTTTGAGAATGTCATGTTCAGTCTTTTGTGCAATAGGGAATATTTGTGGCACTTATTCACTTCATTAACATGGACAATATATAGGTTTGAACAGAAAAATACCATTCCTGGTATATTGCAATATTATAAAATGTTGTTAGCAGCACTGCACAGCTAAAAATAACACAGCTCTTAATTATGAATTGTAACATGCACAAGGACACAGGGCAAGGTATTTTTTTACTTAGCACCCAGTGTTACTGTTACCTGTAAGACCCATCAGTATATTGAACACTGTAAATTTCAACAAAATAACAAAATACCAATTATATAAACAGGTTCTTTATGTTAGAAAGGTAAGCCAAAATAATAATCACTATGTCTGGGGAATTGTAAATTGACCATTGATTTCAAGACTTTGATCTAGTGGTTCTGTCCTTTAAACTAGTGAGTTATCATTAATTCAGATGCACAGAACATATCTACTAGCACAATACTTAAGTACAATGTACATATAAAATAACCAGTGTTATTCCAGCTTTTGTTTACAATATGAAATATTTCTATGTGTCATATTATTAGGAAACAGTACACAATAAAATCTCACATGCAAAATATATGTTTTTGGCAACATCTTTATACAATAAATAGTTACACAATGGAACCTTCATAAGATTCACAAATGGTACCTTTGTCCTACATAAAACAGAATTGTAGGAAAGGCAGTAAAAGTCAACTAGAAAATCCTTTATCCCCAAATCTTTGATGAATATTCATATTAAGATTAATGCATATATTTTATTTAAATTTAGTATAGTGATTTGTCAAATTTAAATTAATGTGTTTTGTGGGGGTCAGCTGGGTGTCTGACACATGGAGAAATGCATCACCATGCTTAAGAGTATCTAAACCAGAGTTCCATGCATGCCACCTACACATGGAAATTCCAGAGATGTTTATTGGAATGAATGTGCACTCTCTCCTTGAGGGGATGCATGCTGCTTACCTAATTCCAGAAATTATTTGGCAGGTTGGCAAGGCTTGGAGACCCCTGAGTGTGCATAGGGGTACTGCTGGAGGCTAACCAGCTAAAACTGCACAGCTTGTCATTGAGATCATTGCCTAACAAGCGTTCCCGCTGCTTGTCCAGCTAGGATGAGTGAGATGAAAGGTGTTAGAAAGTAAGTGTGTGAGATCGGGGAGAATGAATATGAAAGTGAGTGTGTAGAGGAGAGGGAGAAAGAGAGAGAAAGAGGAGAATGAGCATGAAAGGGATGAAAACGTGAATGTGTGTGAGAGAGAGGGGGGGGAGATTGAGCATGAATGGTGTGATAAAAAGAAGAAATAAAGTACTGGAATAAAGAGTCAGCCACAGTTGTTCAAGAGTCCAAAATCAAGTGTTTATTGTTAACCGTTTTACAGTGATATAGTGTGGAATGGAATGAGGCTGAATAAGGACATATGGAATAACAGAATAGAGCTGATAAGATTATACCTTTCATTCTGATTTTAAAAAAATGCCAGCAATTACACAATGCAATCTGTACCAATTACAAATAGCATATTTTTCATAGAACTATTTCAGTACTCAGCAATATTAACATGGCCTTGTATTAGAATATGTCAGCTTTTACAGTCCTGATGTGAACAGGTTTTACTGACTTGTTCTGCTAAAGGCAGCAGGAGTTCTCTCTCTAAAGACTTCTTTGATCAGCTTTGTTGAATGCTGAATATGTGTTATTACAGCAACAGCTGGAACCAACAACTTTTATGAGATAAAGGGAGTTCTTTCTTAGTTCTTCCCATTCATTTGAAAAGTTAGAATTTGTACAATACCGTTTCGATAAAGAAATGTGAAGAGGATTTATAGCAGCAAAATCAAAATAGAGATGAGAGTAGACTTATAAGCAACCTCATTAAAGAAAAAAAGCCCAACTGTACTTGACTTCGGGAAATCTCCGATTTGAATGTAAAATGAAATCACTTGTTAGTTATGATTGTACAAAAGATATGGATTTCAAATCTGTTGTTATTTCTCCAATAATGATTTGCCCAATGATCAACGATGTTCAAAGATTAATGTGGCAGTGTGATAAGCAAAATTACAGTTCTGTAAATCGCAAATACTTTCTCCCTTAAAATAGCTTCAATGATAGTTTCTTACATCAGCACAATTGCAATACAGTCATAATGGCATTTTTAATGAAGGTCTTTCTAGATGATACTTTTAACACACAAATTATTGAGTAATTAGAAAAGTACAAATACTATGGCTACATGGTCTTTGATTTTTCTATTAATTTTACTGAAAGGGCACTTATTTGCCCTCAGTAAGCGCTAAAAACAAACAAAAAAATTAGTAAATGCCAGCATGCCTTCTGGTAAATCTTTTAAATGTTGCAAAGGTCAGAGAGTCATTTACACGACATTCTTGTAAAATTAAATATTAATTTAATGAAAGCAAAATGCTGGATTGCTGACATTTATCTTGCAATAGGAAGCAAAATAAATTGTTGCCACCTAAAATCTGAAACTCTTTAATTATATCAAAATACCAATGGACATGGATCATTGTCAGCGGCAAAATTAGTTTATTGCGGTGTTAATCCTTAGCTAAAGGACTTTCAATCAATAGGTGTCACAATCTTTTGATAAAGAGGTTATCAAAAGGTTATTAACTTTTGATAAAGTTTTTTAAAAAAATCTTTGTTTCCATTATGTTATTAAAGAAAATAATCCTTACATTTGAAATGGTGACCTTCGCATTGGGAGGACGTCTCAAAACATTTCACAACATTTACTGTACACTGTGGTGACTGTCTATATAGTCAACAACAATGAGCAGCAAAAATAAAATGCACTCAAAATAGCATGAGCTAATATACCCTTACTTGCATTGAGCGTATTCTTTTATGAAGAATTTGTAAAGTTATCGACCTGAATGTTATTAGTTTCCTCAAAATTCAGAACTCAAATATCATCATATCCTTCCTTTTTAGTTCACACCTATCTCTATATCCTCAATACATAACTACTGTAATCTATGAAGACCTGGATCATGTCAGCCTTCAATCTTCCTTTCTAAAGTAAAAGCTCAGCTCCTCGAGTTTCTTCTAACTTTCAGTCTGGTATCACCTTTGTTGGACTCTCTCCAAAGCATCAATATCCTTTTGAAAGTGAACTGATTAAACCTGCACCCAATATTCCAAAAGTATTTCCACCAGCAATGGATACGTTTGTTTATATTTAAAAAAAATAACAGGTTCTATGCCTTTTCACTGAAATGAAGTGATGCTTAACATTTAAAAGACAGAAATAAAGGGAAGGGAACTAAGGGAGCATTAAATACATTTTTGAACTTCAAGAGTTCTATCTCATGTTTGGTTGCTGTGATTTGGGGAAAAAATGTCAGCATACTCTATTATTATTATAAAATGTCATATAAATAAGGTCTCAGTGAAGGCAATCATGCTGGAGCTGTGCCCCTAACACCCCCATTACTCCCCCGAGCTGGATAAGTACAGCATAAAAACTATATATTTTTCTACATTACTCTCAAACGTGCAATTGCTTTCAATGTTTATACAAAAAATGGTCTAAAGTTTCAATGTGAATGTTTCCATTATTAGGGCTTTTCAAGTTCACCATCTTCCTTAAACACTATCAATAATATTGAAGCAATTCACAATATCTACACCAGATCTAGTTCCCATGAAAATTCCTCAAAAAGTGTTTGTTAAGCAAATTTGGTAGATTTTATTTGATGTGGATTATTGAAGCCGCTATATTTGATGTTAATGAGTTAATGGTAAACCTTTGAAAATATCTGAATTTAAATATTTTTTGACTAGTTTCTTCAGAGGTTATTTTACAATGTACCAGATATACCATTTTCCTTACAAAATGTGTTCATTGCCCACCCAATGAATGTCAGCAACTGTTTAATGTGTCATGAGGAGTTAATAGTTTCAGTTACATTCGTCTTATAGTTCATCAATTCTTAACATCCTCAAATTGTCCTGACTGATTATTTAAAATGCATAAAAGATTGTTTCACATCAATTTCCTTGAGGTACACATACGCATTGTGTAAAAAGTTATGTACAATAAGTACAGTACAGCTTCTTAAAAACAAGGTGGTTGAGGGTCCAGAATACCCTAGCCTGCCTTACAATGGGGCATTCATTGCACTTGCACGTTGCCAACCGACTCCCATACTAAAAAAAAATGGCTAAGTTCCTGGTCACCAGGTTGCTACTGGCATTTCTTTGTTAAGGTGAATGCACAGCATACAGGAAGTGACTCTGGAGCGACCTGGTAGTTGGCCATTTTTAGCAACTGGGAAGGCAAGATTGATGATTTCTGAGTCATCAGAGGTTACCGAGATTACATCACTTCCTTTGTGGTACACATACGCATTGTGTAAAAAGTTATGTCACCAACAACCTAAATAGCTAAACTCTGCCTTTCTTTTAGCGTGGGAGCCTGGTGAATACTGAGGCTCTGAGCAGTGGGTTCGTTTTTTATTCACTCAGAAGCATTGCATTTTATGTGACTCTACCATACTTTATCATTAATAATTTAATGATCATTATCATGACAAACCTCATACTTTTCACCCCAAGAACTATTTAAGCCATAGTCAAATGTACAGTATTTATTTTACCCCAAAACAGAAACAGATTCAAACTCAGAAAAATATCTTCAATGGCATCAGTGTATTCATGCAAGGGCATGAAGGGATTTGAAAACGAGTGTAAGGATCTTGAAATCGAACCGTTCAAAGATAGAGAGCTGTGGAGCCTGACAAGGACTGTGATGGGGGTACAGAGTTTAGTACAGAGTTTAGTGCAAACAACAAAGTTTTGGATCAGCTGGATTTTGTGGATGGTGGAGTTGGGGAGACCGGCGAGGAGAGCATTTGAATAGTTGAGGTGGAAGGTGATGAATGCATGGACGAGTGTTTCGGCTGCATTTGGGGTGTGGGGTAACTTTTGTCAAGAAGCAATCAACTGACGACTCAATTGCATTACGGTCTAAATTTCTATTATCCAATAAGTGTATAAAAGCAATGTTGAATGTTGTCCGGATTAATTATGTTTTTGTTATTGTGGCCTGAGTGCTTGAATTGGAAGCAACACATTTTTGCCACCACTAACAAATAACAATTGTTACAATGCCTGTACCCATATTCATCAACTCTACAATGTAAAAATAAATTAGCTGAATTATACATATATGTTTTGGCAGCACAAACAAATTATTGCTAGTGATATGCTGGTCAATTAGATGGTTTGTAAACAGTGCGTGAATCCTGATTATTAACTTGCTGGCAATTGTAATGAACAGAAAGAGAAGTATATGTAATCACAACTTACATGTTAGAATGGAAACATCATGATTCATTTAATGCTGCACAATGCAGATGAAGTTAATGGATGTATGTGTCAGCAGAGTGCACATTAAAAAGGAGTGATTATATTGTTCAGCAACAAATACATAGTGAAGCAAAATATTCCTGAGAAAATAAAAGACCAAAATAAAAGATATGTTTTGCCACACGTACATCCACTTAGCAGTTCCAGGTTAATCACTGTGAAGTGGTAGCATCCACATCAATCTTGCTGTATAGCGATTAGTGCTGATCTCAGGAGGCAAATGTTACAGTTGCCATCAACATCAGTTGCTGATTTTGCCATGGTAGAGAAGCTTTTCTGAGTACTGCACATTAGCATAGTACACACACATATAACTGGCAAAAGTAGGGGAGATCTCATTGGTTTCTGGTATCTCCTGTGCAATTAATTTCTATACTTAGCTTATTGACAACATCTGTCACTTAATGAATAACTTGAGCACCGTATCTATCAAAATTCAGTGCCACAGAAATGTTTAAGCCATAATGCCTGCCATTAGATGTCTATCTCATTAGGAATTGGCATTACTTCAGTTAATTCACATGAGTCGTATCAGTCACGACCATAATATTTAATTTGATTTACACGATGTCCGAGTTGCAGGTAAACTTGTATAAGTCATATACAATCTGATTTAATCAATAATCTACACTGCATATGTGTAATTCAATGCAGCCGGTAAGTGTGGAAGTAATGGAGGCTAGGGGAGTGGTGGTATGAGTTCGCAGTGACTTGTGCAAATAAATCTAAGTGGTTTTCATAGAAAACTGAATGGGACTCAGGTGGACGTATGACTTAGGCGATTATAACATTTATAAAGATAAGACTTTTGTGAGTTTTACAGTGGCGTATTTGTAGGCATTGTACTGAACTAACTTCTCATTAAAATATAAACGCAAATACATTCTATGGATATATGCACCAAATACATAAGCACCATTATGGTAAATGTGCCCTTGCAATATTTCCACATAGTTGAATACATTCTTAGCATTGGACTATATTACAAAGGATAAGTGCAATGGAGAAATAATGTTATTGATTACTTATGTCTGTAACTTTAATTAGTTTCATTCAGCCTAATTACTTTCCATCACATCCGTTTTTATGAGATGAATTAGAAGAGAAGTACACAGACTTTGCTGGTGAATCAGGTTATTCAAGGTTAACAGTACTCTTTTTACCAATTTATTTGTCAAGACCGCACCATGCTATCAAACAAAATGAATACAGCATACAGTAGAGAAAACTAAGACTGTTATAGGTTTATGTCTTTCAATTCTGGTAACAGCACAAGCACAGGAAACATAAAATGTATGTTTGTTTTGCGAGGGAAAAAAGCTGCCAGTATACAATACTTGGAATGAACCATTTTTACTTGGCATATTTTCAAAAATATTAGTACGAAACAGGAAATCTAATAGAGAAGCTTCTGTAGCAACCGTATGTGACAGCATTGGAAAAGAAGCATGGAACAATTCATGGGAATAACTTCAACAATGAAGGCAAGATATTATCTTTTCTTATTGGTGAGAGAGGTTAGGCCCCGGTCACCCCTCACCGCAGACAACCCTCCCCACCCCAAATTCTTGCCCCAAATTGTCAAAGGACAATGTGGACCTAATGCCTATCTTCGCGACCACCCAAGAAAGTCAGGTGACTGGATAAGCCCGGTCTGAGCCAAGTGACAAGTGCTCAAGCAAGCTTTGCATTCCAGTATCTCTGCTTCCTTAACTAGTCTTCCTTAACCGCATTTTTCCGCCTGCATCACATTGCCTACCTCCGCCCGTACCTCACAACCAACACAGCCAAAACCCTCGTCCTGACCTTTTTCACTTCCCGGCTGGACTATTCCAATGCCCGCCTCGCTGGTCTCACCAGCAAAACCATACACAAAATTCAACTAATTCAAAACTCCTCCTCCCGGATACTCTCCAGCATAAAACTCTGTTGCCCCATCACTCCAGTCCTTGCCAGGCTCCATTGGCTCCCAATTACCGAACCAATTGATTTCAGGATTCTCGCACTCGTTTTCAAATCCCTTCATGCCCTCACACCTCCCTACCTATCTGATCTACTTACCCCCCACTCCACCACCCACTGTCTCCACCTGGCTGGTTCTGCCCTCCTGTTTATCTCTCGTCCCCTCCTCTCCACCAATAGTAGCCGTGTCTTCAGCCGCAACGTCCCAAAACTCTGGAACTCTCTCACTGAATCCCTCCGCCTTCCCCCTTCCCTCCCTATTTTCAAATCCCGCCTGAAGACCTTCCTTTTTGATTGTGCATTCGTTCACCTCCCCTCTCCCTCTCACCCTGGCTCAGTGTCAGATTCCACCACTGTCAAGTGCTCCAGGATGCTATCCCGTGTGAAGGTCGCTATTTAAATACAAGTTGTTGTCCATTCCACTTGTATGTTGTGCTGAGAATGCATCAGACAAACTGTTTTTTGATAAGATTCCTATAAGATTTTGTATCAAATGTGATTTTTTCTGGACTTAGCATTACGGTTAGAACTATAGAAGGGAAAAAATTAGGATTTAAATATTATGGTCTCTTTGTCTACACACACACACAATTCACTATAGCTGGGGATTATGGAAATTTACTTTTGCTGAGGGCAGCAACATGTGGATGTAGACCAAAGACACTTTATTAAGTTGACTGTTGTACTGCTATGTATTTTGCCTATAATGGAAAATTACTGAGCATTTATATTGCTGTACCTTGAATTGAAATTTTGCTGATGATTGCACTAGTGTATTTTTTGTGTCCTTGCTAGAAATAATGTTTGTCTTTTCCTTGTCTAATATCCTTCTTTGTCTGGAGAAAAGGATGTGTAACCAGATGGTGTGATAATGTGAGAAGTAAGACAAGGAAGTGGTGTATGTGTGTGTTAATTAGGTGCCCTTCCTATCCTTACATAATGTTAGTTATGTTTAGAAGGAATGTTCAAATGAGATGGTCTTTGTTAGGTGAGGAGTAAAAGCAAGGAAATTATATCTGTAAGACAAACCAGGTGGTCTTGAGGTTAGAGTTGAAGGAAAGGTCGCAAAAACATGTTTGTTTATGCATATAAATACTGTGTTTGAGTTAGAGAAAGACTCTACCTTGTTTCCAATATTGTTCTATGGAACAAGCTTCATTCAACATTATATTACAACTAGAAAATAAGAAATTCATCAGCATCAACTCATTGATGTGTCAATTTTTCAAACAAAAGCTATTGGTGCATTAGTTGTTAAAAGAAATCACTTACCAGATTCTGCCAAAATTTGAACGCTTTTCATCACTCCCTCAGTATAGACACCGGGCTCATAGTTTTCCATCTCAGCAGTGGCAACATGTGAAACTCTTGCAGCTCGCCCATGAATAGCACCAGCTGCACGATCCAGGGTGTCCACATCCCGTTCCCTCAAAGCAATAATGCACTTATTCACATCTTCTAGAATGTGGCTTTCTGAATGAAAGAAAGAGACTCATGATAGATTTCCTTACACTTTAATGAAAATAACATTAGTTTGCAAAGCTGTGACCCAGGGAAGAACAGAAACAGTTTAAATTGTGATAAAGAGTGGAATTTTACCCCATCAATGCTTTATTTTATTATTTGGATTTTTGTTCTGACCCACATGCAAGAGGATAGAAATGCATAAATTCAAGTGGAGTGAACTCTTGCTGATTAATTTAATTGCTTTCCTTGGTTGCATGTCCAAATTATGGAATTTCTATATTACAAGTGTAAATCGTCTCATTTGATAACTACATTCTGTGAAATTTCTCTCATCTTGAGTATGTGGCCCTTGCTTAATGGACTATGAGAAGCCCAACACACAAAACAAATTCTCCTAAAGTCAGGAGAGTGTTCAATCCCAAAGCTTCCATAATTTTAAAGACGTTTAAAATTATGTGTTTTAACTGGAATTTCTGTACCAAACCGTAATTACTGTCAGTGACAAAAAAAAGAATGCAATTCTAGTAAAGACTCTTTCAGGGCATTAATTGATGCTTTTAGCTACAATCAAGGAAATAAAACACAACAGCTTAGAAATTGGGAACTAGCAGACACTAGCAGTGTAAAATTGTATTGATACAGACTATTCATACAATTCTAGAATCTTTAATTTTTAGAAGAGTCTCGAAACAATATATACTTTTGTATATAGAACAAAAGTTATCACTTTCTTCAATCGAATCAATCAACTTTAGATTGATAGAAATAATAGAATGGGAAGAAATCATTGATAAATTTCGCTGTCATAGGAAAAGAATCAAGCCATTCATTCCATCCAGCCTATTCCAGCATTTTATTGGATCATGGCAGATCTCTCAATTTTATTTCCTTGCTTTTTCTTCATATATCTTAATGCTCTTACTTCTCAATTATTTTTCTCATTTTTAAGTGAATTGATAGCCTTCTAGGATAATGTATTCCACATTCTCATAAATCTTTGTGTGAAGAGATGTTTTTCTAACTGCCTTAGATCTAATTTCAATAATATGTTCATGTGTGGTGAAATGAACCTGTCAACAAAAAAAACTCAATAAATTAGTTGGACTTGGATTGACTTGTTGGGATAATGGATGTTCCCCTTCTAGTATTTTTAGGGAATTCAAAATTCCCTCTGGAGATAAGGGATCAAACATTTCTTTTTGTGGCTATTTTTACTTTTACTCTTTGTCAATTTTCCTTGCATCTTCTAATTTTTGTGACAGTGCATTTTGCAGGTTATTTGACCATGGGGGCAAGACATTGCAAAAATCACAGAATATCTTTTGCCCACTTGTGACTTCCTACGTCGACAAACAGCTTCTGTCAACAAAACTCAAATGATGCTCGACATAAGAGGGCAGGAATGTAGTTGTAAACATAAAGCTCCATACAGCTAACACACCTATAGAGCATAAGAATGCAAGTATGCTGCTCACAAACATAAAGCTTTGTAACAATAATCTTCCATGGGATAGCTCAAAAAATGTAAATTAAGGTGAAACTTTACTGCAATACAAGTTAAAACAAGGAAACTGATAAATAATTGAAGCTCTGTACAACAGCCCAACTTAATTAATGCAGAAAGCATGTGCTGCTAACTCTATAATGTAAAATGAATTAATCTCAACATAAAATATCAGAACAATTATTACAATGTCTGCATATAATTTCTGATCGCCTAGAGCCTGAAAATTTATATCAGCAAATATTTAAATTTTGACTTTATATTTACATTCACTGATTAGCAATAGAAATACGGGATAAGTGACTACAAATGAAAAGCTGCAGGAGTAGATCTGAATTATTGCAATGTACACCTTGGAAATAATAACATTTGCAAATGATTATCTTTTCAGGAACCTTTCACAAAAAATAATTAATTGATGTTCAAGATTTGTGAATGTTTTGGCAATCAAATGTGACAGCTGTGGAATTAAATATTACTGTCCTTTTGCGAGAAGTGTCAGTATCAACTACTCTCAGGAATATTTTGGGATTAAATCCCTTTTTCTTCCCCTACTCTCAGGAATATTTTGGGATTAAATCCCTTTTTCTTCCCCAATATTATGCTTCCGAGAAACATTTCCAACTGTACCCATCTACTCCCCCCATTCTCCTTTCTAACCGCATTTAAATAACCGCAATGATGTTACTAATTTGATACCATTTATCACTGATCTATGGCTAGAGTTGTGCTCTGAATTGCTGATCAGTACAAACTGGTCAAACCTAGTCTTACTAACTATACCTTGAAATTGGAGATATCATAAGAGAACAAGTTCAGGTTTTTGAAGGGAAATTTTTTTTTGTGTGTGTATTTGTGTGGGTGTGCTATTCAATTGCAGTAACTGTAAAGCATTTTGGAACGTTAGCCAAGCTGCCTAATTATGTTTCCATTATGCCAATGTTACTGCAATGGAAATAAAGAGTAATAGATAATTTTCTGAAATATCTATACAAATAATCTTGCAAAATAAAATAAATATGGAAACACTGTACCATATGGTTATAGCAGGACACACTCAAATGTATCATTCCAAAAAGCTAAATATTGTTTAAATATGTGCAAATACAAACTAATATAAGTACCTCTGAACCAGCGTAAATCTAAAAGTTTTGCTGTTCACCCTTGCATGCTTTTTCCTTTGGATATAGGATTTCTTTCCATCTCAATTTTTGCCTTCTAATTCATTGTAATCTCCATTTTCTATCGCAGTAATGTTTTGTTTTTTTCTCCTTTTCTAATAGCTTCGATCCTTTCCATATGTGCATTTTCTAATCCTTTACCCACCTCAGAAATTACAGAATGTAAACATATTACATTTGTAGATTTACATAGAAGCCCCACCCCCTCATTTAACTGAAACCATTTCAAGCCACTGCATTCTTGAGCAACTAACATAGAATACTACAATTATCTTACATCCATCAGAGAAATAGGATTGCCACATTTATGTAGAAAATACACAGTGACTACACTTTAGAGTAAATCCTGTAAAGCCTTTGAGATATTTCAACAACATAATAATAATACTCTGTATCAAATGCAAGAATTATTATTTCTTAATAATTGAAATATATGTGGTGCATAAACATCAGACCATCATAACCAAATATATCACTCTCAGGCAGAACCATACCGTCAATCTCAATATATACTGAAACAAAATAGGAACAAACCTACAGTCCCCAAGCACAATAAATCATTAGGTATTTTATAAAATGTTCTGTGGTTCTGTAATAAGAAGGAAATAACTCCATAAGCTTCATGCATCATGGGAGGACATTCCTTCGTGCAACTGTAATAATTCTGGTTGCTCTGCACAAAAGTGATTTGAAATACATTGGAGTGAGGGAAAATCATTTAGTGTAACATAGCATTGCTGGTGTACTGCTGAAGTACTGCTTGAGCCAGCATTAGCATCAGCGAAAAAAGTGAAATAAAATGTATCCCTTACTAAGTCATTTCTCTTCACACACACCAGGTTGCTTTTTTCTTATTCAACAACTGCAAGCTGGAGAAGTATGCCCCTACATATAAACGAAAGCTACCTTCAAACACAATTAATCTGACTTTGTTCCTACATATCATTGAGGTCAAAAAAGTACCATTTTATAATGAGATTCACTAATAATGACTCAGTCATTTACAGGGTGTCCTGGCATGATATCACAGCCAAGTTGTGGGTTTCTCCTTGATCAAGGGATTCCCACGAGTCAGCTTTGACCTACCACTGGTTACCATCAGAATTATTGTTCATGGCAATTCGATGAATCCCATTGCAAACCAACACCAAGTTGCACTAAAAAAGTCCCTAAATGGTTCACAGATATGGAGTGGAAGCTTGAGTAGGGCACAACATGGAGGGATATTTTAGGAAAACAGTTCCAGAGAGAAGGAGCTGAAAACTCCCCATTATTGGGGGGGGGGGGGGTGGAAGGGTGCCGTTACTTTTAAAACCGTTTTAAAGTATCATATTACTTTCACTCTTCATTTTTTTAACTATTTTTTCTTACTTCAAACACTCCACTGATTGAATTTTTTTTACAAGACCCCTGGATATCATGGAGAAGATATCCATAAAAGATTTTTTTTATTTAGAACAACTTGAAAGGCAAATCTCATACATATAAATGACTAGTTTGGGGTTGCAATATTTTAAATGATCTAAATGAGGCTTGCAAACAACCTTAGCTTTTTCATTTAAGGTGTAAGATGCTTTCAAGCTAAAAATGAGTGCACCTCGCCAGTTTTTTTTACTAAGAACAGAAAATAGCCACAGGAGATTTGACCTTCTAGCATTTACTCACATTTTATAAGAAACAACAGCAACTTGCATTTCTATAGCACCTTTCACATAGGGTAGCATCTTGAAGCGCTAAACAGTGACAGAGCTTGATACCAAGCCAGGAAGAAAGCATTGGTGACTGTACGAGTCAAAGAGGAAGGTTTTCAGTTGTGATCTGAAGATTGACAGAGAAGGAACATGATAGAGGGATTGAGCCAGGAAGTTCCAGAGTCTCAGGGCATAGTGGCTGAAAGCACAGGCGTTGATGATGGAGCCAATGGGCAAGGGACATGCTGTCCAGAGTCAGCTGAGCAAATGGGACGTGTAGATGAGTGAGGTGTAAGCAGGTCGGAAAGGTAGAAAAGTGCCAGGGTATGAAGCGGTTTGTTCGTGAGTTTGAGGATTTTATTACAAATTTACGTATATATAGTACATTTCACGTCAGGAGGATGTCCCAAGGCACTTGACAGTCCTGACTTGGCACCAGAGCTGGAGGGGTCGGTTTCACAATGTTCTGCTCTCTACTTCACAATCCCAAGCTTAATATCACCATGGTCATCACTCCCGTCCTTCATTGTTTTTTTCCTTGTTTTTAAAAAGTAAACTTTACGCAACCTATTGCAGTAACTTCTGGTTAAAACCAAAAGTGTATTTTTTTTAAAGATTAATCTTTGTTGG